TTTTATTTCAGGCCCTTCTGATTTATTTTAGTTATGTTTTTTTCTTCTTTGTAGTCCTTTTCTTAGTAACTCTTGTTTTTATTTTGCATCTCATGTCCAGTTATTTTGTTAGATTTGTTTTCGGATCCCTATTTTCGGATCCCTTGCTCCTATGTCACTTCCTCTCTGCTCAGCCTACCTTCTGCTTTCTCCACACACCTGCAACCCATTAGCTAATCAGCCAAGGTTCGTTCAGCCTCACAGTACTCAAGCACCTCATTCTCAGTCACTCCTCGCTGGTTTCTCCCAGGTTTTTTTCAGATTGCATTGTCCCTGTGCCTTCTTTCTGGGTTGTCATTGTTGATTATGTTTTGTTCAACTCTGGCTTCTTGTGTTTTCTGTAAGTTACTTTTTCCTCTTTAACTGTTTTTTTAAATCTTCATAACCACCTCCGGTTCGTCTCAAGGCAGTTGGGTCCAACATCAACCGTAGAGAACATGACAATTATAAAATGTGATTGTCGATGTAATTTCTGGAGATATTCAAAGCAAGTACCAAAGATGCCCAGGTCTGGCAAGTTGCCAGTTGAAAGAAAGTCCCAAGTTTTAATGGCCGAGCCATGACTTAGCGATGGCCTCTATATCCTCCACCATGTCTCAATACAAAAATTAAGATGTATCTCAAGGATCAAATGCTTGAGACTGGATCTACAGACCGAGTCTACAGATCCAGTCTCAAGCATTTGATCAGTGAATCTACGGACCTTGGTATCAATACCTCATCAATATCTCTGTGACTAGTTTTGTTAGTTTAGTAAAAAACGTGGATCGGTGACAAATCAAGCGCAACTTTCTATAGCAGAAAAATGCATTGTGCGTTTGCTCCATCCACAGGGTCGTGAGGTAAATTCCAATCCATCACCGATCCAGCACTGAGATCAGCAGCTTACCTGCTAATGTTAAGACTTCCTGTGGTTTCATATCGCTGGGTGATGCTGGAAAGGCTGGTAAGGGTCACGTGTGTGTATGTGTGTTGGTGATGGGGGTTGGTGCGGGAGGGGAGTAGATGTTTCTAGATAACTGAGTTTCCTTTGGCAGCCAGCCCCAGAAGTGTCACCGCCCATAAACCTCCACTCTAAGTGCACTCAGGTGCCTCCCTGTCCCTGAGCATGATTTGCTCCCGCTAAAAATGGACCTGTCACCTGGAGGATTTTCCAAGAGCAGACCACAAAATCAGATTGTATGAGAACTGAAGACCCTAATCCTGGCCTTCTTTTTAATTATGAAAAATCATACTTACATGTAGGATGTTATGGCGATTTAGACAAACGTAAAGTACCTGCTACTACAATGCTCATCTGCTACTGAGATTGACTGATTAGGGCACCTTCACTTAATAGACTGAGTCATTGATTACAGGCCAAAAAGGGGTCACCTCTGTCTCTGCGGTGCTTTTTGCTGGATTAGATCTAATGAAGCAAGACATTTCAGAAAAAGCACAGTGTTATTTATATTATTAAATATTTTTACATATGACCTGGGAGTCTGGACTGACTTTCATCGTCGTACAATGTCAAAATAAGATGTTGAATTTTAGTTTGGTCCTTTTATACATCAACGATTTAAAGATTCACTTTTAAAACCTAATTATAGTGATTCTGCATGATGAAGAAAAGTAGAAAAACTGCATATTTGGGAACTTGCTCTGTGTTGGAGAGAAACCTGAAAAAAGGAGAGAAATGGAAAGCATATTAGTGTGCATGTTGGTGAATGATGAGGTGTGCAGTGGGGCCTAATTTGCTATCTGCCCTGTACAGTGCACACTTTGTGCACTGAATGTGAATAGGCTGCCGGTGCACAAAACTAAACCCTCCACCTCCTTCTGTCTCCTGTTTGTCTTGCAGCCACCATTCAAAGTTGCCTGACTGTTTTCCGAATACAGTCTAAAAATGAAACCATTTCTATCAGTTTAACTGTCAACGTGGGTCACGTTTTAGTGCTATTCTTTACATTACATTATCTCACAGATTTTTGGAATAGTTTTATCTGTTAGCTAATGCTAACAGCAACATCGCTTAGCCTAATTATTGGGATCGCTTTCTGAAAAGTTTTTGCAGTGGTAGTTTATTTCAGAAATGCTTGAGGTGAGATATGAGGTGATTATCTTTTTGTCAACTGGAACATTTGAAAAACTACCACGTGTATACCAATATGTGAAGTTTATGCTTAGTTATTACTTATTTTTCCCATAGGCGCACTGTATGTGTTGCAGCATTCATTACGCCATACAAGATGTACCCTTGTAAGGTTTGCATGTAATGGAAAATTAAATCATCATTACACAGAAGACATTGATGATCACGTTGAATAATAATATTAGGAGGTTTTAATCTGTGACTTGAAACTCCAATTAATGTCATAACAAATTTTGAAAAAAACAAATAAAGGCAGAGTTCAATTGCACAACTGTCTGCACGTCATCCTTCTTTTCTGCATGTGAGGGAAAATTCCCATGTTTCCAAAGATGACAATAAAAAGTCACTTAGGTGGAAGTATTACTGGGAACTAGCACTTTTTCACAGGCTTTCCAGTCAAAGGCATAGACAGCGTGACAAGCCAGTCAATAGAAGTCAGCAGTGATTATGCAAGTTGCTTATGCCTAATAGGTAAGGTCAGCACATTCCCAGAAATGGGACACATGCCCAGTCTCACACTGGGCAGAACATGTTCCTCGTTCATTCCTCCTGTAGAGAGAGAAACGGTACTGGTGAAAACAGAAATGAGGTCTAGTTTGCATAACACCTGTGCAGACCAACCTTAGAAATATCTTTTAATTTCACTGCATGGCATAGGGTCTCATAGCTGTAGTTAAATATCACTTTGTTGCATCTTTTGCAAAGCAAGGTAAATAGATTCTCTGTCATCAAGGACATAGTAATCAAAAGGCAAAGTAGAATAAGTTTTAACCAGAGGATGGGGTTTCTGGGATTGGATAATTGCACTTATAGGACTGTTAAGGGTTAAGGTTAAGGTTTCCATCAGGCGTTTGGGTGATTGCTACTTATGAGGTCCTTTCTATTGAGGACATCGTGTGAGGTGGTACAGTCACATGTCGAAGGTGTGAATTGTTATGAAACCTCCCTGAGGAGAAAAATCCAGTCTGAGGCCACCTCCTCTCTTCCTGGTTTGTGGCCTCCTTAACTTTTCTTTTGAAACACTTGTCTTCCTTGTTTAGCAAGCCTGCAATACTGTTCCCAAAGGAGTGTTTCTCATTTTTGAGACCTAGTGTGAATCACCTGAATCTGGACCCGATGAACTGGCCCTTCTATGTTTTTGTCCATGAGATTCATTCAACCATGCTACACCCCCCAGCCTGAATAACAGCCCAATGCTTGAGACCCCCTATAAAATGCTTATAACTGCCTATTTCAACATCAAAATGATTTGTTTGCTAAATTCTGGAAAAATAAGACAGAATGCATTTTGAATCTTTCTTTAATATTAAAAGTTTCCATACATTTTCTTAGTAGCTTGTGAATTGCCTTTCAAACTATTTTATTCGGGCCAAGTGTTCTGGATATTTTTTGATAAGAATAATAGCGAAGAAGAAATTTGGCTCATTCCTACTGTGTCAGGTTTGAAGTGCGCTTTGCTTGCATCTGTTTTGTGAAGTGCACCACTTCCTCCTGGAGAAAATGTGATGCTCCCCAATTGGAACAGCAATAAGGCTTATTGCCCAAGTGTAGTGATGGTCATTATGACCAAAGACAAATTCTCCCAACAGTGAAGGTATTTTTCTATTATGTTTTCAAGCTATAATTGTCTTTTTATGTTGGTTCTGAAATAATGGCTTCTTCCTCACTCAGCGGCCTTTAAGCCCATGTTGGTACAGAACTCACATCACTGATAATAATCACTCTCCTACTGACTTCAGTCAATATCTTGCCATATGTTTCTTTCAGTTATGGTTTCTTGGCATTGTTCCATAAAGGCAGATTTGCAGAGGCCACAGCTAGTAATGGTTCTGTTGAATGCTTCATCTATCTGAGCTGTAGGTAGATGCAGCTTCTGCAAAGTTATCATTGGCCTCTTAGCTGCTTCTCTGATTAAATCTCCACACATTCATTAGGTGGCGTCTGCATTTCAGGATATTAGAGTAAAATCAAAAGGATTTGAACTTATTTTTCTAGGATCAAAGACGGAACCATTTGTGTTCCCCCATCGACCCTGTAGGCTACGCAAGCTTTGGTTGACAGAAAAGCCTCCTCTGCACAGTTTATCTCCTTTGCTCATTGCTTTGATGTGTTGTGATTGCATTAGTGTGGCAGTGGTGTGCTGCATGGAAAGGGGTTTGGAGATTGGATGGAGGGGGAGGGGGTGTAGCAGAGGAAAGCGTTCTGCAGTGAGAATGTGCTCCCACTGAAGCGTAGAGAGACTGCAGCAGAGTGAATGAGGCTGTGCACCACCTGCAGAAGGAGAGAGAGCGGGAGAGATAGTAGGAAATAATCACCCAAGACACAATGATTCAACACCATGCCCCTCTCCTCCGTCCTTTCTCCCTCTCCTCCTTTCTGCGACCCAGTTCTTCTCAAACTACAATCACCAATCTGCGCCTGCATCGCATCAGCTTCAGCTTTCATCCATTCGTCAGCGTGTGTGCTCAGTTTTCTAAAACACACTCCCCTCTCCTGCTTCCCTTCCAGCGACCTGCTGCTTCCCATTTTGTCATTCCCTTCCTTTCCCGTCCTCTCGCATTCATTCATATTTTCTCCTGTGAACCATTTTCCCATCCCGACTGTTGCTACTTGATGCATACTTTTGTTTATGTCATAATTTTTAATTCCAAAATATCCCTGTAAATGCGGGCAACCCCCCCCTCTCGCAATCCATCCTTTTTTCCTTGCTCCCATCATTCCCCCACCCCTCCTGACTCTTTTGCTCCCCTCCTCCCGCTCTGACTGAGTAAATGCTGCAGCATCACTGCATGTATGTGTGTGAGAGCGTGTGTGTCGCTGAACAGCACGGAGCGAAAGAGATGGACAAGTGTGTGTAAGCTGAGTGTGTGAATGCGAAGCACCGGCGATCCTGAGCCTGAAGGGGTAGCCGTGTGATGAGAGAGGAGAAAGGGGCGTGGGGGGGTGGGGGCTGTTCTGCCTGCGAACACATTTGCCAGGACAGCGTTACATGCAGGCGAGCGTATGTATGTGTGTGTGAGGGGGGAAAAGTGAGTGAGGGTATGCCAGCGTAGGTGTAGCGGTGTTGTCGATCAGCATCGGGCTCTTCGCATTATGCAGCCGACGGTACTGATCACACTTTGAGGACTGACTCATCCAGACCAGGCTGAGAAGACGAATGGGTGTACAGACAGGGAGACATTTTTTAGCTCAAAAAATGCTCCAGGTCCTCCAAGATTGTTCAAAGGTCTAGTCCTTTTCAGGGATTGCTGGTAGCCCCCATTGTTTCCTTACAAATTGGAATTGCAGACACACAGACAGACATCCAAAATTTCCAAAACCTCCTGAAAGGAACATAAATCCTCAATCATTGTCTGACTCAGACACTTCATATTTGCTCCAGGGACTAGGACAAGAAGATCTCCTGTCTTTCCATAGTCTTGAGGACGGTTGCAGGATCCTTTCTCAGTGCCGAGAGTGGGAGATAAGAAGGCTGGCAGACAAGACGGGACAGACACAGGCATGGCTCGCCTCAACTGGTGCCTGGCTGCTGTCATTAGCTGGGGCAAGTTCCTTTTTGCCTGTTTCTTTCCTCTGAGAGGAGCCAAGCGAAACAAGGTAAGACCTCGATGAATGTGCACGAAGGGTAGTAGTGAATGACTGACTCAAAGGACTGTTCTTCAACTGCCTCTCTGCTGCTTTAGCATCTAATTGAACTGATCAATCTGCATGGAGTCTACTTCAGGATTGGTTCTGTTCTCAATCAAATTACCCAACCGTGACTTGCATTCAACTGGCCTTGCCTAAACCACATAAATGACGTAGCTGCAAAAAATAAGCTTGGCAATGGACCATTGTCTCTAGAAGACCATTGTCAAAGTGCTCCAAGTGGTGAGTCAAGGTCAGTGTGATATGTTCAATAGGTCTTTAGAAGGCTAACTTTAGGTGAATGGAGAACTTTAGTGATGAGATTTAAAGATTTGCCATTGAAACTTCTGGCAAATCCTGCTGCCCAGGAGGGTCACCTTGATTTGAAACCTGCAGAACTGAGATGCACCATCATGGGAGCCTTCCATAGAAAAGACTTGCGGTATTCCCTAATTTTTATCCTGTTCAACCTGTTCTTAGTCGGAGATTGCAAGTCTGTCATCCTTTCAACATACTTCGTCAGTCATGTGTCATATTTGTAAGGCCAAGCAGAGTTCATTGAACAGTAACCAACAAGCCAACATGTTTTAAAGGTAGCTTACCTGCAGTCTATATTTTTTATAAATTTGATTCGTCTCATAATGAGCCGTGTTGCAACTATTGTTCTGGTAACTTTTCCAGTGACATCAAGAAGAGTGTGCCAGGTGTTATGGAGCGTCTGTTACTCAGGAAACATGAAGAAAATCATTGTATCGCAAAACGCCCTTAACAGAATTTAACCACAAGCAAATCGTCAATTTTGGAAACTTTCCTAGGATTGTGAACATGAGGGTTTAAACTTGCTGTGATCCTCTCGTAGTGTCATTACATAGTCTGCTGGTGACGCTGTAGCTCGCAATGCTGCAGGCACACGTCTCTTCCAGCACCAACACCAAGAGAAAACCCACTCCCCTCCGCGGCACCACCACCACCCTCGCCCAATTGCCGCAGCTCCTTATCTCTTTGCCCGCACTCATTTCCACCACTCTGCCCCTCCTTTTGACACATTCTCTCGTCGCGTTTGTCTATGGAAATCCACTCACAGGCCCTTTTTTTCCCCTCAGTTCAATTTCCATAATTTCCATGTTTTTACTTGCCTCGCAGTAATGACGCATAATTCAGCAAAAATGTTGATTGCTTTCCTGAAAATACCATTGCTTGTTCTCAAAAGCATAACCTTAACTCTCCAACCTTTAGTCTTTTGAGAGAATATTCATGCAGCTTGCATGATCCATTTGCATGTCTGAACCTTTATATTGTTCAGTAAGGGCAGTGTGATCTTCTGACAGATGTTTAGATATTTGATATATAGTTTGTCAGTAAGAATTTGTTTTACTGAGAAAAAATGATGTAAATAAAACATTTTATTGATAAGTTTGGGTCTCGGCGAGAGACTGCTTTCTCTGGACAGTTTTCTTCACCCTAAATGTAGATGGATCAGGACACAACAGGTCTAGTTTAGCTTCTTTCAGCTTGTTTTGGTTTTGCATAAGTCTTGTTTGCTTTTGAATCGACATTTTCCATATTTCCTTCATTTGTCTCCTGATTGTAATTTAGTATTTAATTTGGATGTACTTTTGGTCATTTTTTGTCAGCCACTGCCTTTGTACTTGAAATTTATGTCTCATTGGGGGTTCATTTATTAATTCTTGATCTCTTTGTGGTTCATTATCACATTTTTGGAATTCTTTTTCCTCAGTCTTAGTCATCTCTTTTTTGGGGGGGTTATTTCACTTCCATCTAGTCCCTTCCGTGACATTTGACTTCCAGTTCAATACTCAAGGAAGTCGCTGCATGACAAATAGATTTCCGTAGCGTCTGCTGTTGCCCTGTTGAGCTGAAAAGTCGACTGGGAGGTGAAAGTGGAGAGGTATGGCGGCTCCACATCTTTCCTCTGAGGACTGCTGTGAGGTGTTCAGTTTCCATGGCAACGCGGCTCAAGCAGTCCCCACATGACGGGGCCGGGTTACTACAGGAGACGTGATGCGTGTTCGGCTGTGGATGTGGATGTGCGGTGGTTTTCTAAGAGGCAGACAGGGGTGGGTGTGTGTGTGCGTGTGTGTGATGTTGGGTGAAGCTTTCCTCCATATGTGTTACTAAGGCGACACTCCTGCAGCTTTATGAAGGAAGCAATCTCCCCTTCAACATCATTCTGTTGAGCTTGTTTTTCCCTTCCCTCATTTACTCAAGTTTTACCTGCATCTGTATTAGTTTAATAAATGCATCCTTTCCCCATGGATTCCCCCCAAACAGCAGAAAGGGATTTTCCAGGCCCACAGAGCTTGATGGATTCTTTATTATTTTAGCATGAATGTTTAAAATGTGATGGATTCTTCAGCAACAGCAGGAGATTCCTCTTCTCAAATAGATTTCTTTCCTAGCACATTTTTGGTTATTAATGAATCTGTCCATGTCTATGTATGCAAGTTTGAGTTTTCACATGCTTTGACCAGGTAGCAAAGATTGTTAATGACGTTTTCTGGGTCAGAATCGAGAGTTTCACTGGTACAAGTGCATTCGCAAAGCAAAGCTTACTCAGCAGCTTTGGAATCAGTGAGGTTTGCTGTTGAAGTATGCTTCATAGTGATTATATGAGAACTAACTATTTAAGTAAACATGCAGTCAATCTGCTGTTGACTATTTGGAGGCCACTAGGGGCTGCTAGCAACCCAGTTTAGAGCAGAAAAAAAAACGTGGCTCTAATGCATCAAACACATGCACCAACAATCCATCTGAACAAAGCTTCCTAGCAGTTAAGTGACTTCTCCAGCATTTCCCTAATGCTGTCTTGTTATGTAAATACACAGGCAGAGGACGCCTTGCTCATAAACACACACACACAGAGATAATATGTCAGGTGAGCCTATAGATTGAGGTAACTGTTACAGTGGAAGTGATGGAAAGCAGCGTGGATCAATAGGGGGTGTTTTCTCAAAATGAATTGGCTCTTAGCCCTTTATGGATCTGACTGTGGAGTGATGTAATGTCCCTGTGCAGCCGGGGTAATGTTGATTCAGTGCTGCGGTTTGTGCACACAAACGCATGCATTCTGCGATTCTTCTCCATGTGCAATGCAATGTATGGATGGATATTTGGTACGCTAGTCTTTCTGCAAGGATATTAGCTGTTCCGTTTTAGTAATTATAAAGCCTGCAGAATACAAAGAGACTCAATATTCTGCATAAAAACTGATTTAAATGTGTTTTCAAACAGAGTAAGCAGGGATTGTGCAGACTTCAGCGGTTCAAATTTTTTTATTTAACTTTGAAAACATTTAGCGCATTAAGCTTTCCCTAAATGAATTTTAAATCCTAAAACGCTACTTTATTTGTTTATTGAAGTTTTTCTTATCCATTTTTCAGAATTAGACATTTATATTCATGATCTTATTTTGAAGTGGACACAACACTCCATTATATTCTGCTCCAATAAATTTGGTCAGTAGAATAAATGAGTAACAAATAATCCTAAAAAGATCATAAGGAAAAAATGTCATAATGATGAGACAAAAAAAATCTGCTTCTCTTAAACTTCCTATATGTCTTATGAAATTTTATTCTTTTTAATACCTTCATGTTTTATCGTTGTTTGATTTAGCAAAACATAAAAATCCCCTCAAAATAGATTGCACAGCATAAAAGTTGAAGCCGACTTACATTTGTCATTTCGGCACAAAGGCTCAGCTCCAGAAAAACAATGATAAGTGTAAAATTTAACAAGATGGTTTAAATGAAACAAAGTAAGACCATCTATAGGTTGTCAAAACTGAAATTGTAACACACAAAGGTTTCCTTTTATGATATATGAGGTCCAACATGGAAATTTCTCTCTCTCTTTTTTTTTTAAACATCCTGTCTTGGCATTTCTAGAAAATCAGATATCAGTTTATATTATTCCAGTATTTGTTGGTTCTTGTCGTAATCTTGTCTAATAAAGATGGCACTTTTGAATGTAGAATTCCTTCTTCAGATCTGTTTTGATTAGTTGTAAAATCACCTGAAGAGCAGTTTCAATTGGAACATTTTTTTGCACTTCTTCTTGTTCAGTGTTTAGGGCTGCTGTGCATAGTCCTGGCCAGCAGATCTTGCAGTACATGGTTGTGTATTCATTGACACATGGAATCCTGTCACCCAAGATGCATGATCATCTCTGAGCAGGTCTCTAATCTGCCTTTAATAGTGGACAACATCAGAAATTCATCACTGAAATTTTGTCGTCTTATATATTTAAAAAAAACAAATAATCGTGAACTTTCTACAGTCACTGTAAGAAACACTGATTTGTTCTTGCAGCATCTACTAATGACCAATGAGGTTGAATGTTGATTCATGCAAATGTATGAGATTTCCACTCATGGGGCCAAGTGTCTTGACAATACGCCATCATATTGGAAAATCTAACATTGTCCTTTGCACTTGTTTCAACAATACATTGAGTACAATGAAATAAATTGCAGCAAAATTTACATAGTTTGTCTTTGTGTAGTTGAAGTTTGAGTGCCAGGAGTTCAACCAAACTAGAAGATTTAGATGAAGAGAATGTACTTGGAAGCCTGTTGGTGAACTTCCTAAACGATCATCAATACTTTGGAAAAACTGTTCTTTGGATCTGAAGATGTCCCCGGTGTGGATGCTTTGCCACCTTTCATTGGTAGTCGATGTAAAGCATGTTGAGGCAGTCCTTGCTGTGACATCATGCTGAGTCCCTACTGGGGACAAACCCTGTCGAGTGCCAGAGTGGGAGCGGGAAGTCCAGAAGCCATATGAGTCCTGCATTGTTTGATGAATGAATGTCCTCTTTCATTAGAGGGCTGAAAACTTTAAAAGTTTGGACCAACCAACTCTGAGATCCTGAAGTCCAAAGCCCTTACTCTCGCAAATGCCATTCCTTTCCAGCTGGTGCATGAACAAAAGAAGACCTGTCCCTGTTTA